GGGGTCCACTTCTACCCGAGGACCGGTCCAATGCCCCCACTTCTTTTTGGGGTCCACTTCCACCCGAGGACCGGTCCTTCGTTTTTCCAAAAGTCCCGGTTCTACCAGAGCTAGCTGTAGGTAGTCCGCAATTTTGCCAAGGACCGGTCCCCCAATTTTTTTTGCCCCCGAAAAACCCGCTTGCGTCCTGGTCGCCAAAAATGCGACACCTTGACACAGACGCAGAAGCCCACTATACCGCAGCCTAAGGGCTGCGAATAGCCCAGGCAGAATGCGGGCGGGCTATGCACTCGGACGTCTCCTCATCTAAGGGCCATCTCGTAGCCGGGCGGTCATTTTCGCGGGGTGTTTGTGTACTTCCCTCCTGCCTCTGGTCCCTCCCAGCGCCCTCCCAGCTCCCTCCCACGTACGTCCCTCCCTCCTCCCCACCCCCACCCTCCGTAAAAGGCGCACGTGCGGTGCGGTTGCAGACTCCACCGGTGCGGGAGTGCGAGGCAGCGGCAGGTAGTGATAGGTAACCCCGACCGGTCGCCTATTGTCGACCTCGCTATGACTTGTGTTGATTACCGGTCGCCTGGAGAACGCGCGAACCAGCCAACGGTCCTTCTGGAGGACGGAATCTGATCTGGTCTGATCGGGGAGGGGTGTTGGGGAGGGAAGTACTCGGCCACGTTGACGCCTGGAGCACGAGTTTCTCGAACTGTGAAAGAAATGGCGATGGCGGCGGCCGCTGTGCGAGCGGCCCCAGCAGCAGCCGTTGCCACGTCTGCGTCCTCTCGGTGGTTGGTGTCAGGTAAGAAGGGGGACAATTCCGGCGATGGCTGCGTGCATCGGCACAGTGAGGGCGGAGGATTTCAGATAACGAAGGCTGTGCTTCCGCCACGTGGCATGCGGATAGGACTGATGGATGTCGCGAGGGCAGGGCGCGTCTCAGCAGCATCGAGTAGCTGCTCCTACTGGCGAAGGTCAGTTTACCATCTGGCTGTCTCTTCCGCAGCCATCGCCATCTGCTTCTTTCCTGGCGCGCCGCCATCGTTCGTTCATCTTCTTCCTCCAACTTCCCTCCCAGTGCGCCGCCATCGCTCATCTTCTTATCTCTCAGCGCGCCGCCATCGCTCATCCTCTTCTCTCTCAGCGCGCCGCCATCGCTCATCTTCCCCTTCTTTCCCAGCGCGTCGCCATCGCTCACTTCCTTTTCCTGCCTCAGCGCGCCGCTATCGGTCGCCTACGTCTTCTCGCTTGGCCCCTCCCATGTCGTGTCCATCTTCTTCTCTCTCACTGCGCCGCCATCGGTCATCTTCTTCTTCTCTCTCAGCCCGCTGCCATCGCTCATCTTTTCTCCTCTCTCAACCCTCCGCCATCGTTCATCTTCTTCTTCTCTCTCAATGGGCCACCATCGCTCATCCTCTTCTTCTCTCTTCCCCCACCATATCCATCTTCTTCTCTTTTGGAAGCAGCACCGCACAGCCGTCATTGAAAATACTGTAATCATCATCTCCCTGATCTGGCGACCCCTCCTCTACCGCTTTCTCTCTCTCTCTCTCTCTCTCTCTCTCTCTCTCTCTTTTCATGCTATCGCCATGACGATCCTCTGCCCTGCCGCTGCGTCGCCATCGCCCTCCCCTTCGTGCAAAGGCACGACTGCGTCTGGAAAATTTTCATGTCCTTCTTTTTCCTCCTCCTGCTCTTCCTCTGTGGCCATTTCCTTTTCTCCTCTCTGCTTCCACCGTCATCGCCGCTCTTCCTCTGTGGCCATTTCCTTTTCTCCTCTCTGCTTCCACCGTCATCGCCGCCGCCATCACCGCCGTCTTTTCGTTTCGTGTATCTTTCACGATTTCGTGGGCCAATGCAGAGGTCTGAAAGCATTTTTTTCCTTTCCAGAGGTCTGAAACCTAATGCAGAGGTAAGCAACAACAACATGAACCACAATCAGCAGTTGACAGCAAACACTGGACATGAAGCAACGAATGAATAAAAATAAAATAAAATAAAATAAAATGAAGTAAAATAATGCAGAGTCTGAAAACAAAGTGAAGTAAAAAATAAATAAATAAAATAAATAAAAAGTAAAAAAGTAAAATAAAATAAAATAAAATAAAATAAAATAAAATAAATAAAATAAAATAAATAAATAAATAAAATAAATAAAATAAATAAAATAAAGTAAAATGGAAATGCAAAGGTCTGAAACCGCCGCCGCTATATTTTTCGCAGCTCTCAGCACTTTCCTGCATTCTACTGTCTTACCCCGAATTGAACGTACGGTCATTATAGCTGTATTTGCGGCAACTTTCAGTCTAGATACGTCAATAATGACCGTATACATTCTATTGACGGAAGCGGGTAGGAGGGCCAGGATCAAACGTGAATCCCCCCACATAGAACGCACGGTCATTATAGCTGAATTTTGGGCAACTTTCGGTATGTATACGGCAATAATGACAGTGTACATTTTATTCCGGGCAATATTGAACGGCAGCAGAAATTTCTGGTGCCCTTGGGCCCCCTGTGACCGTTTTCCCGGATACAATTTTTGTGTTTTTTTTTTTCTTCAGTTAAATATATAAATCACGATTTTTCGATTTATGCGTGTCATCCTATGCGCAGGGCCCATGCTAATCAATCCTTCTCTGTATGGTTCCAATTTTTTTTTTTCTGTTCTTTGTTTCCTCTTTCGTTTTCTTCCATATCCCCCTTCTTTTTTTCCTCCCTCTCTCTCTCTCTCTCTTTTTTTTTTTTTTTTTTTTTTCTTCCTGAACCACCACCTCCTCCGATCCTGTTTTTGCCGAACCTGAATTTCTCACTGCTTCACCGAGTTCCGCGGAGCCTGGGTCTCATTTCCCCCTTCATTTTCCCCTTTTTCGCGGGTCCATTTCCCCCTCTTTTCCTTGTTCTTTTTGGGATGCGACTGCCGTCACTACCCGAAATGAAAAAAAAATGAAGCAGGGAAATATTTCATTTTCTTTTCTTTTCTTTTCTTTTCTTTTCTGGTACTGACGGCATTTCCATACGATAGAGAAGAAGAAGAAGAAGAAGAAGAAGAAGAAGAATAGTGAATAGTGAAACCAGTGGCCAACTGCCTTTCGTACACGCTTCGAAAGCTCTTTCAATACATAGCCGCTCATACTCATCTCAGCTCACGCGCACATTCCCCGACGCGTTTCGATCGGTTGCGCTCCGATCCTCCTCAGGGGGCTAACCTCTTGACCCTGCCTTGCGGCCCGCCGACAATCCTCCCGTCTTACCGAGTATAGAGGACCAATACGACCTTGTCCTCCTCCTATATACTGTCCTTCGAGTTGTAAGCCTAGCCAGCACGGTACTCCCATCCCAACGGGCACTTCCACGAGCGACTACGGCTACGACCGGCTCCGTCGCATAGACGTTATGCCTAACTCCGTAATGATCCGTTACGTGTCGGCCCCTCAACGGGCTACAGATGGTCAGTCCACGTAAGTTTTCAATAGTCGACACAAAAACGCCTATCCCTTCAGGCCAGCTTTCACCGCATGTTTCACGTGTGGATAGTACTCTATGCATAGGCTAGGGGCTCTTTTCCGCGGATATTCCTTCCAACGTTCGATTCCCACAGTCGATCTTCCTACTCTGATTCTATATTGGCTTAATTCGTGCAGCATGGATCGCAGCCTCTACTCTTACTACGTGGCTCACCCAGTCACAGTTGAGTGAGACAGTCAGTTGCTCCGCGGGGAATACGCCCTGCCTCGCCGGGCAGTACAACAAGAACGTGAAACGAAGAAAGAAAGAAGAAAAAGGGAAAACTACCAAGGAAAAAAAAAAAAAAAAAAAAAAAAAAGAAAACTACCAAGGGGGCCCGGCCTCGCTGGGCACTACAATCTAGCTTTAGGGTCGGGTGGGGATGTGTTGTATTCGAGGGATGCCGGAACGCTGGCAGGGCACTACACGAAAATGAGGCGAAGTCCTTGGGGACATCCCTTAAAATTGGAACGATACAGAGAAGATTAGCATGGCCCCTGCGCAAGGATGACACGCATAAATCGAGAAATGGTCCATTTTTTTTTAAAAAAGAAAAAAAAGAAAAAAAAGAAAAAAAAGAAAAAAAGGAAAATGAGACGAAGGAAAAAAAAAAAGAAAGGAAAACTAGGGCGCTGTCACGGTTTCCGTTTGAAAATGCGCTTAATCACGAATGTTGGGGGGAGGTGTTGTATTCGAGGGATGTTCCAACTGGGGGGTAGGCCTGTTGGTTCGTTCCCAATTTTATGGATGCCCGGATGGGCGATACATACAGGGTTTTACGGCCTTACCCCTTAGGCCGAACGCCGGTAACCATGGACCCATGTTCAAGTCCAGATGGATGCATGCAATCAACGAACAGAACAAATACAAATTCAGAATGAACTGGGGGCGGTGTTCAATGATGTCTCAAGGCCATGCCCCTTTTTTTTTCTGGAAAAAAAAGAAAAATAGAAAAAAAAACAGAAAAACCCTGTGTAATCAAGGCCTGATAGGCAGCAGTCTACAAGGACGTGCCCCTTTTTCTTTGGAGAAAGAGAAGAAAAACAGAAAAACCCTGTGTAATCAAGGCCCCATAGGTAGCATTCTACATCATCCACTGAAGTCAATGAGTAAACCTACCTTTTTTTTTTTAAACCTATCTTTTTTTTAATAATAAATCTCGAAACCAATTGGTTGACTTGTAGCTCTTCATCTTCTTCTTCGTCTTCTTCCTTTTTTTTTTTTTGTGGAAAATCACTCTTTTTCTAGGCTACCAGCGGGGACGCCCGGGTCCCGGGTGGCCAGCCCGTGCAAGGACCAGGGAAGGTCCCAGCAAAAAAAAATAAATAAAAAAAATCCAAAAAATCCAAAAAATCCGAGGAAAAATTATGTTATGCAGAAAAAATAAACTAAACAACTTTTGCCTCAGGGTCACATGGACATTCTTCGCCAAATTTAGAATAAAAATTAAAATGTAAAAATATTTGTTTTTTTTTTTTGTTTTTTTTGGCCCGGCCGGGCAAGTGACCCCGGGCCACTCTGGTAGCCTAGCTCTTGTTTTAGTTTATGCCTGTCACTCGCCTACGAACACCAAATCATCCACTGAGAAAAAAAGGGGAGAAAAAATCTACCGAAAGATAACGAGTAAATCTTCATCTTCTGTTTTTTTTTTCCCACTGTACTTTACCATCTCTCGTGATTGAAGAACACGGCAGGCAATCATCAACAAAACAAACTTCACCAATTCTTCCCCCCTCCTTTCTTCAAAAGGGCGACGGTCTTGAGATATCATCGTTGAATTGACCGGTCCCAGGTAATCCAGCATGAATTCATTTTGGCCATCTGGTTGCATCTGGATTCGAATCTGTATTTCAACACTTCAGGGGTCGACCAACTGAGCGTGGGTAAACCTCACCCATTCTGTCCCAACCCCCCAAAGGTGTCACGTGCTCGTTATTCTCGTCTATAGCTACTCGTTCCCTGGTCCTGCGGGGTAAGCAGAGCCAAACAGACCATTCCACTACCTTCTTCACCCAAATAAAACGCACGGTCGTTACCCAATCTTTGTGGGATGATGCATCACGCCTTTGCTTTTGATGAGAGCCTGCAACCTCATTTTGTACGAGGCTACAAGTCCGACCCGGAGTATGCATACCTCCTCTACAAGGAGCTCTCTTCGGATTACCCGGCGGCAGGCCACTACTGTATCGTCGACGAGTACTTGCTCATACAAGAAGCAAGGACTTGTTTTGTGTTCCGAACGATCACCGGTTACGGACTCGTCTACTTGGCGAGTATGTGTTCCCAACGATCGTTGGTCACAGACTCGTCTACTTGGTGAGTACCACGACTTGCGTCTCGCTGGCCACTTTGGAGTCAATCACGTGATTGCATGACTACGTGGACGATCCCATTTCGCCGACGTGATCATCAACGTCTCAAAGTATTGCTAATCTTGCGAAGTTTGTTGATGAAACGAACCCTGTGA